TCGTGTATATTTGTTTTTTCAAACAAAACCGACGTTTCGGGCCCTTTACAGGTCCTATGGTCACGGTTGACTGGACATGGAAACGTCGGTTTGTTTGAAAAAACAAATATACGCGATTTACATCCGGAAAAATAGTTTCATTTCCTAAAAGTATCTTTTGCCATATTGATACAACCGGGACCGATCCCATGACCTAGGACTGCAAACTGGTTATCGAGGTCGTTAAATTAATCTGCATGTTTACGTAAGATATGTCCGTTATGTACGAATTTATAATCTCTAGCTGTTACCTCCTTGAGAAATACTTACATAAATTCGGCAAACCTTGTAACCCTTGCTCAAACTAAAGTCGAAAGTTAAATTAACTTACCTGTGCTCGACCCAAAGCAAGGGGTAAGTACTAGTTGTGATTTGTCGAAGCTGTAGGACTACTTATTCAAACATTTTATATATTGACACACATTACTATATTGTTTGTTAAGTAACAGACAGGTTTATTTGGTTACGGAAGACTTGATTGTCTATCGTGGAAGATACCTATTTTTATTGAATTAACGCCTCGACAAACAAATTAAAAGTCGGGTTTAAGAAACACTGTTTTACTACAGTACAGTAAACACCCATTAAACAAAACAATTTTGTTCTTGATCGTTTCATAGCCGATTTGAATATAATCGTGGGATATCTTTTTTATGTAAAATTGTATTTACCTTGTTTGTGTGGTAAACTTGGAGACCTATACCCAGCAGTGGGTGAAGTTAGGCTATGTATGATGATGATGAATGTTAGTTGCTTGGACGAAAATATTACAAGAACGAATAGGTAGCTGATTTGTTATTCTCGAACATGTTCACATAACAGCTGGCTTCCTTGACTGTTTTAGTAGACTGTTTTTTACAATATCAATATGATACGAGGACACAAGGTTTCCGAAAACTTAAAAACAATAACTCAATGATCAAAATATTGTCCACAAAAATTATAACATAAGCTGTATTTTTATCATTTTTGGAGCAATAAGTACCGTACATTGATCTCTGCACGTTGTCCGGAAATTCTAACTTATAATAACATCATGATTCCTGAATCATTAAGTACCATGTCAACAACGTGGCGCTCGTCTTAAACCGTAGGTACAGAGAAATGTGTTATTTTATAAACCGGTACATCAAAATTTTCAGTCAACTTTAATATATTATCTACAGACATCCATTCGGTGAAAGGGCCATCGGTAAAAGGGCCAAATATTGTTACATGAAATGGACAACAAGGTCCACACCAGTTCATACGCTCGCCATCCTGAATACAGTGGAATACAATTTATCAATTAATAAATATTATGGGAAAATTTTCGGTCCACCATAATAGGCGATAGAGGTAGTTTGGGCTGTAGTGCCAACATACTACCTAACTATTGCATGCTAAGGTAACGGCGTACGGCCGTCTTGATTATCAAGGCTTTTTGAATTTTGTGCCCAAGGGTTGCCGGGAGATCCAACTTAGCTAAACTCTCTGACAGGCTCCTTAGAACAACGCCTGTCGTGGACAAAATGAGGGGCACTTCTCGCTGCTACCAGACCTGCTAATCTCTGTAGCAAGCTGTTTATATTTTTTCTGCTATTCTTAGGTGTAAGGGATACACCGAAGAAAAGCAGAAAGCAGGTTGTGCATGTTGGATATACCGATATCCAGCAACCACGTAACGCTCCTCTCTTTCTCCACAAGTATAATATCAGGCTAATTATGTGGCCTATCCGTCCGGACTGATCTGCCCTAATACAGCTAATGGGTATCATTGTCCAATACGGACTAGCGTTGATAGAGCCAGTAAGGTACATTCACAAAGACACGCACCTGTAATATGATGTATGGTTTCGGTGTTTTGATAATACCGTCTTATTATTATTATTCTTTGAAGCATACTTCCAGCACGACAGGAACCGAAATAGGGGCACATTGTCGTCTATCCGTTCATGGTTTATATTTGTTTCACTGATCGACCGTTCGGATTTTATATGAAAAACTTTATTTTTTCCCTGAAAAACTCGATCTACGTCGTGATATTTCGTTCAAGTTACGTTGAGGATTTGGGATCTATAATGCAATGCTGATAAGTGGCAAAGCGAGTTCGTAATTCTTTGTTACTTGGAAAAGATTCTTAAGAAAAGCAAATTACTGTACTTATATCACAACAACTATTTTGTACCGTTATTTGTATAACATAACTTGGGTTAATAGAATCTTTAAACAACGCATGAAGCTCGATGATCCCATCCATATCCCTCACAAAATAGCCTTTCGAACTAGTTTGAACAACTAGTAGTATAGGATGTAGTTACACAGGTATATTTCCATGTAATTACACTGATGTACGTTTTGCATAAATCTTACAGGCAAATCAACGCACTGGGCAATTCGTGCTCTGCTAAGCGGACGCAGCGAATAATGCGTTCATGTTGAATCAAATACAACAGCATTCGAACTGACTAAAAAGCAATCAATAAATACACTCGTATTTGCGGTGTGCGACCAAGTCTTCAACTGCAATTTTAATTTGTTTTCTGTTTAATGGCATTACATAATTTTGTATCAATGTAATAACGTTGGAAATTTAAGGAACAGAAACTAAAAGGAATAGAATATAGATCCCGTATGGCGTATTTTGTACGCGCCGACGACGAGCGTAGTGGCTCAAAAAGCAGATTGTTGGTTGTATTCAATTCAAACGCGATACAGATGTGCGCGAGAAGCGCGTTCGAAACTCGTCTGTATCGCGGTTTACACGCGTTTGAAAGGGTTCGACATAATACATCAACACCTTTATCTGTACGTACTTCATGTGTAAACATTTAGAGGTCTACGAACAGAATATGGAATTCAAATTGTAATATAATCTCTAGGGCTGTTCATAAAATAGGATCACTACCACGTTTTTTTTATTATACCAAGTGGCGGGATGAACAAGTCTTGCGCCTGGTGGTAGACACGCCTGTTTATAGGAGTCGCAGTATCACAAAGAGCATTAATCACAAAGGCCTACGGGGCACTGCCACCGCGCCTGCCACACTGATACATTAGTTAACAAGTCTCACGTGCCTGTAATTTTACCAGCACCCATACCATTTAAACTCTGAATGCAGTAATGGTCGCATTACTGCTTGGCGGCAGAAATGGGTATGGTGGTAGTACTTTCCTGGACGAACTCTTTGACAAGGAATTTCTGATGCTTCGGAAATGCTTGGTAGACGGGTACGCTATTTGAACTTTTTTATTTCACGGTACAGAGTCAAGAACATGTCAAGCTTGACACTTAAGATTTAAATTCAAGTCTATGTTGCTTGCGATAAGAACATAACATAGCTGTATTCTACAAGACCCGGCCATTGCATATTGAATTTGTACCTTAAAGATAGTGTTCTGAACAAAGGTAGATAGTTAGCGACTACTCCACCGACAAGAACTCATAAAAAAAGAACAGTCATTTGATGACGGAAACAAAAATAAACTAGTTTTGCATGGTGTAACTAATGCTACCTATTTTTATTTGTGTATTCACGTGTCGAGGTGCAAGCCGCCTGATTTGCCTTCGTTTAAAAAAGTTAAATTTATATATAAAAATTATGAAATTGTTTTAAATATTTTATATTTAATCTTATTCAATAATACACTCATAATGTGAAACTATAATCGTATTTAAAAATCTTAGTAATTTTAATTATAATTTAATGTTTCTATAATAAGTGAAAAATACAAGCGAACACAACATTTTCAGGATGTTATCGGAATTTATTTTTCACAAAGTTTACTTCGTTACTTCATAGAATACGTTTACAGGACAGGAATGCTGATGTTGTATCAGAGAGAAGACACAGTACAGTGCATTAACGAAATCTTTAGTACAAATTTAGGGCATCACTGTTACTGTCACATTCCTCACTAGTTTTTTGAGAAAATTTTCATTTTCAAGTTGGCACATTTTTTAATATTCACGAAGAAATGCTCTCTTTCCCTCTCGCTCGCTCCAGTACTACCTAACATGTAAGATATTTTATTTATGCTAAAGTAAGTAGAACTCCGACTGGTATTCGTAGTATAAATTTAAATGATAAATTATATAATGTATGATATTTTCTGTCATTTATCAATTCAGAGGCAACGAAAAGTTTAAGATTGATTTTAGAGCGAGTATGTCTGTTAAGAAAAATAAATAGATATAATAATATATTGAACACTAAACATGCAACTTAAAAAGATAGGATGGATTGTGCGTAGCGCCTGCGAAAGTTTTATCGTAGCGCTTATCGAGATGCATCTTTCGTAGACTTCAGTCAGACGTAGAGGTCTACGCAAACGATTTGTTATGACTTTGTACTTTGTATTTATTAAAATTCTGGTACAGGTATGTATAGTTAACAGCACATCAAGCTTATACACTTTTGTTCGAATATCGCCTCTATTGCAACGGAACAAGATCCGTCAATGTGTAGCTTGATGTGCTGCCATCAGTACATAACGAGTAGGTATGACTCTAACGTTATCAAATGTTTTTGATTATAATTAAAATTTTCCATAACGAAAATTAATTGGTGCTTTAATTTTTTACAATTGTAGATGAATTACCATCTTTTGTGAAACCTACTGTAATAATATAAGTATATTATTCTCTAGCCCTGCAATTGTATTCAAATATAGTAGGTACATTTGTTAAACAAAAAGGTTGCTCAATTTTTACGCATTTGATAATTTTTATCATATGCCATATTAATCTTTTATGATGATAACTTATGTCATTGTTAAAAGAGATATTCTATGAATTAACAGGAATTATTAAACATATTACAAAAACATCGACATGGAAAACCTATTAAACTTTTTAAGTGTTTCGCCTTTAACGCTATTGGTTGATCGAGTTGTGTGGAGGCGTAGGGTCTCTCCGATTGGCTGCCGGAAAGCGTAAGTAGACGAGTTTTCCCGCGTTAACCATCAGTTGCAAGCTGTTTCTCCGGGCGAATAACTGCTTGCTAACTTGTTTGCATTAAAGTTAAAGTTGGTTTGCAAAACGTGTAAAGGCCTCATTACATTCCGAACTACTGATATTAAAGGTGAGTAATCCCTTTTAATTATGTTATAATTAACACTTTTTTACTATTTTGTTGCAAAAAACTTATTACTTCCCATATAATATATATTCAGGTGAACTGCGTCCAATTGTCCTAGTATGGTGTCATAAGCAGGAATTTTATGAAAATATGGATTCTAAAAATCTTTCTTCAATTTCTAAACTATTGCACCGACGACAGTTGCTTGGATATTCGTACATTTTGAAGTTTTCAGACTTTCTGAGCGATTTGACAATGCAAAGGCGAATTTATGTTATTGCGATACATTTTTGTAGGTAGATGTGAAAAGAAATTCATAATGAAAATAGTACATGTATGGGAAAAAATCACGTGGATGTTACGGTTCTCGTCCGCCCAATAATGTACACTCAGTACAGATATATAGTCTTGACAAAAAATTATTAAAAGCTACATTTTTGTTGTATATATACAAAAAAATTATAGCTACATTATTATAGCTACCACTACCCACTGCTAGTCACGGTTCTCGTCCGCCCAATAATGTACACTCAGTACAGATATATAGTCTTGATAAAAATTTATTAAAAGCTACATTTTTGCTGTATATATACAAAAAAATTATAGCTACATTATTATAGCTACCACTACCCACTGCTAGTCACGGTTCTCGTCCGCCTAATAATGTACACTCAGTACAGAGATAGTCTTTACAAAATTTTTAAAAGCTATATTTTTTTAGTATATACTTATACAAAAAAATTATAGCTTTAATAATGTCTCCAATTTTTTTGTATATACACAAAAATATTATAAGTAGCTTTTGAAAACTTTTGTCAAGACCATAATCTCCGTATTAAGTGTACATTATTGGACGGACGTCAGCCGTGTATAGCAGTGGGACACGTATGTGTAGTGCAGTACGTTTTCGTTTGCGTTTGGTATTAATTACAAGGACTTTATATTTTTCGTGCTAATATACTTAAAGTTTCTACTTATGAAGCCAAAATCTACTATAATTTACACTCTCTAAACCCCCATGGGGTCAGTGCATCAACATATCAACCCATAGTAATACTATTATCCTCTGTTATACACAATGATGGTCACGCTTGCCGTGCTTCGCCGACGGACTCATGAAAAAAGCTGTAGTCTATTCAGCAAACATGCTGAATTTCTTCATTTTTCCTTTCTCATGGATTATTGGACTATCGGTAGATTGTATACGTTACTTTTTACTCCGCTATTACTATGGGAAGATTATTTGGTGTTTTACTAGAAAGCTAAGTAACCGGAACCCATTTGGCAAATAGTTGAACCGTCCTGTCCAGTACGGGATGACGTTCAACTCATAACATGATATCTTACAGTTTTAACATCAGAAAGTAGTAAGCAGCAATATGTTTTGGATAATATTTCCGTAAATTTATGTAACGTGTCAGTCTCTGGGAGCTACATGCATTTTTTGAATAAATAATTATTTGCTTTATACACATTCATGTAACGTCCATTCAAATTCCTTTATTCATAAAAATTCTAAAGACATTCTAGACAATTCTAAAGATATTAGATGAGTATAACAATGTTCAATTTCTGATAGATTTGAGTCTGCATCATCTAAAATTAATTTTAGTTCTTAAAGCTTTTTGTACCCCAGTAGTTGGCTACTGGGTTACAAAAAGCGTTTGATCAACTTTGTGATCGTTCATTTTGGGACATTTATAACCGTACAGGAGTTTATTGTCACTTCATTCGGATGTTTCGTTGCGGCTCTTGCACCATTCGATGTCAGTGAATGTTGCAGGAAATAGAATTGGTACGGTTTTAAAACAAGGTTAAAAGCATAAGCTTTTAGTTCTTTTACAGGTGCGACAAAAACATAATACAATGTTTTTGGCATATGAAAGTGTCTAAAGTGTTTATTTGAAAAGATTTTTTGTGATTTTTATATGTATCGACTTATCCAAAGAACAAAGTCCGATGTAATTATTAGCAAAAACAGAATAAGTGCGTTACGAGAATAATTTCGTTATTCAAACTAAGACCTATGTAAAGGTGTTTTGAGAATTTATATATCTTATTTCGTTTCGGAAATATAAAATCGAACAACAGTCGATCTGACATCCACAGCCAAGAAGAACGAACGAAATGTACTATGTCCTGAAAACTAGTAGTCTTGCAATTAGATCTTTGTTCAACGGATGAGTCGGTATTTGCAGGAGCACCGACTCGACGACAAATCTGTGTGCATAATTAATATTTCTCTGACGCTGACTAAAGTTGTTAAATTTTTATGGACATTCACATTCAAAATATGACTTACATATTTTTGTGATGCTCCACATCGTTTTAGCATCAACCAGCTGGAAGAATGATTTCAGTATTTGACTTTATATTGCTCTAAAAAAATGAAGTCGTCAAAACATTGTATAGGTACCTAGTAAGAATTATGCAATCACAATGATCCGTGTTTATGGTACGATTCTTTAATATGTTAAAGGTTAACGTCATTATCAACCGATATATATTTAGGAAATGAAACTATTTTTCCGGATTGAAATCGCGTATATTTGTTTTTCAAACAAACCGACGTTTGTTTGAAAAAACAAATATACGACGCGATAAAGAGAGGTAAAGAGGGCCAGTTGGTATTCTAGCAATAGTCCTACGTAATTGTGCGCCTGAATTGTGTCTTGTTCTCACATATCTGTATCGCTTCTCACCAGAGACTAGTGTAGTTCCCAGATCGTGTTCCAAAAAAAGGAAGCAGTCCTGACCCTGTCAACTATAGACCTATATCAGTCACTTCCATACTCTGCAAGATTATGGAACGTATACTCAACAACTGTCTCCTGGCGTACCTTAAAGACAAGGGCGATCTATGGGGGATCTTCTTGCGTATGCCTGTCACATATGAAGTGAGGCTATAGAGAAGCAAGGCTTACACTTGCAGTGTATTTCAACGTTTCTAAAGTCATTGACAGGGTCTGGCATGTAAGCCTTTTAAGCAAGCTTCCCTCTTATGGACTTCCCACTGAATTTTGCAATTGGATCTCGGATTTCTTGACGGAACGTTCGATTCGAGTGGTCATAGAAGGCTATTCTTCTGAACATCGGGCGATTGATGCCAGAGTTTCTCAGGGTTCCGTACTGTTTGTAACTCTCTTTCTGCTGTATATCAATGATATGTTAATTTCAGGTACCTTTGCGTTTGCTAATGACAGCACAATTGTATATAGGTACTTAACCAATACAAGGGTCAGTGGAGAGGACATCCATGCTTGTCGAGACTTCACAGTTAGTCGTTTGGATTTGACACATAAGGCGGTCTCCGATTGGGGCGATGCCAATCTTGTCAAAACGCTATCAAAATGCAGGCGTGTGTATTCTACACAAAACGGAGTCCCTTTGACCTGACTCCGACTCTTTGTGATATATCCATACCCACTGCCGACTGTCTCCAGCTACTTGGAAGTGACCCGTCCTTCAATTTGAACTTCGGCAGATACATAGAGTTCATGGCTAAAAATGCATGCAGGCAGCTTGGCATCATTTCAAGGGTGAGGCGTTACTTCACACCAGCTTGTTCTGGTCTCATAACTTTCTACGTTAGTTTTGATTATAGTGACCTTCCCTCCCTACTCTTAGCGCATACGAGAAGGGCACTATAACCTGTGCGCGAACTGGAACCTTACAGTTCACGTTCTGAACCCAGATCAGCCAGTGTACAGGGTTCTCACAGACCTCTGTCACTTGACTTCATCCGGTTCTTCGAGAGGCTAGTGCCTCGGTTGAGCCGCCCCGGGTGCACGTACAGTACCCTCCCTATTTTCCAGATAGGTACCAGAGCTGTAGGAACGCTCTCTTCCCGTTGCGCATTGCATAACAAGCGGTTGCCACTGCTAAGCCGTCGACTCTGAATCCACTATCAAATCTCCTCAGTGGTGGCGGAGCCGTAAGACACGCTCACTTCTCGATGCCGAAAGACGACGTCTTCACCGGAGGACATCTAGCTTATCATCTACTAGCTCTCCGGGCTAGTGCCGGAGATGGGATAGGTCTGCTACATACCAACTGGCCACCTTGGATTCAATCGACAAGCGTATCAAGAGACTTGTAGGTAATTCCAAAATAATAGAGGCGAAGCTGTAGAGCCTTGAACACCGCCATAAAGTTGCCAGTATATCGGTATTCTACAGGATATATCACGGGGAGTATGCGATGGAATTACATTATTGATTCCGCCTTCCGCTTTCCATCACCGGGGAACTAGGTGTAGGCTTGGGTTCCTCCCTAAGTTGCGGATATTCCAAAGATTTGCACCAAGCGTTACGCTTTCACATTTACAGGGCGAACGGCTGTGGAGTGGAACTTTCTGCAGACTTATTCTCTGAATTCTATAACTTGGGCCTTTTCAAGGCGAGAGTGAACCTATTCACTAATACCTATATTATTTAGGTGTGCATGCTCCATCGTCGACCTCATCGTCACTGCCCACCAGGTGAGACGGAGGTCAAATGCGCACTTATACATATTGTAAGAAAAAAGAGTCATTATTATGCATGATTATAACTGTCTAAATTAAATGAACTTTAATTTCTTTTCGAACGTTCGTGATTTGTAGCTAATGCACACAGCATTAATTGAAAAAGGTTTAAATTTTCAAAATTCAAAAGGTTTCAAAATTTCAATTTTTGTGATCATATTATCGAGGATATGATCACAAAAATTGCTCAATTTTGCCCCCCATGTTACCAAGTATTAGTACTTACCTTTTTAGCGGGAAAAACAATCTACGCACAACCGACCACACTGCGCATTAGCGCGACCCTGAAGAGGACAGGAGGTAGCAATTGGAAAGTTCTCGAAAGCTTACAGTATTTGCTAGTGAGCATTTAAAATTGTTCACCAAAATTAGGCTCCTCGCGCGGACGATTGTTCTTGGTACGATATTATTTTATATTAGGCTGTTTAATTAATCATTTTTTTAATTACACACAGTAATATTCACTGCGAAGCGGGTG